CGTAGCTCTGAGGTCAGTACCTGTGTTCAGATACTTGTGCCAGGCTTAAGCTCTTGCTAGAGTTGGTGGATTGATGCCTCGAATTTACAACAGGGAATTCTCTTCTCCTTTCTGTCTTGACAGTTGTTCATACAGATGTATCAACAGATTAAGATACTTCTCTAAATAATTTTTAAACGCAGAGCACTTGCTTACAAGATGATTTGCATAATTGCACTTGAACCACAACCGAAAGACTGTATTGTACAGCATTTCTATCCGTTTTATCTCTATTTTTGCAGATCTTGAACAGTTATTTATTCTCAGTCTGGTATATAAAGAAGCAAGGGAGTTCAGGCGTTGCTCTGCAGGAAGCCTAGCTGCATGACGTACTGCTTGAATGACCACGTTGTAATGATTCATGAGTATGTAGTTCCTGAGAAGAGTTATTAAGAGCCAGTATTTGTTGAGTGAGAGATTTACTCTAATTGATTTTACCAACATAGTCTTTACCAACTGTCCCTTTTGATCCATGGGCAATGCAAGACTCTTCTGCGTTAGGTAGTTTTATATTTATTACAGTGAACTCAGATCTCCTTTATGTTCTTCTCTTTATTCCATTGAGTCCTAGAGTGATGTGCAAGGTTAGACAGGACAGTATGAAAGCTTTTCACTGATTCTAGCTCTCAGTCCTATCACAGATGCCCATTTTAGTTTGTCTGATTCACGTTCTGATCAGATGTATTTCTGATGTATCCTGAGAACCCAACTGAACTGCACCTGATGGCTGGAGCGTTAGGTGACTGCTGCCAAAGGTAATCACCTCTTTGAAAATTCTTGTACCTAGCAGAAAGATGTCTTTGGGGAAGGACCATTCTTATGAATGGAAAAACTTTTCTGTTTAGGTATTTTCATCACCTGCTATGATGCAGTAAAGATTTTCATAATGAAAATCTTTGACTTTGTACTTCTAAAGCAGCAGGGGAGCCCAGCATCTCTTACTATCATGGTACATCTAGCAGAAATTTGAACACCTCCTATTCAGGTGGGTTGTGCTAGGCCTCCTCATCTCCAGAGCTATCCAAGTTCCTCTTCATGCTTTCCTGACACTTATCTCTTGAACTCCATCAAGGGGGTATTGTGTTGCCTCTTATAGGTCACAGAAAGCTTCTTTAGAACTTTGGGTAGTGTGCCATGTTCTGCTTTGCCTTGAAATGTGCTGCTGTCATTTCAACACAAGGGTAAGTGCCAGAACATTTTGATCAAGATTTTTTTTGTTTTGTTTTGTTTTGTTTTTTTCAATATGTTCTTTCACAGGGACAGTGATTTCTGCAGCCATATTCTAAATTTATCCTGAAATTCCAGTAACGCATTTGATCTGCCTGTCTTCCCAAAACTATACTCAGCATAAAGGACTTGACTTACCCAAACATTTTCAAGTCTGTTCCTTTTTGAGCATAGCCAATATTTTATGGCAGAGAGCTGAGAAGAAACATATATTATGTAAAAAAGCCACAGTTTTGAAAAGGCTTAGCTGAGTCCCACCGATGCTTGCTGCTATTGTAAATTTTGTTAAAGATTGATTTCTATTTTCTTCCTCCTTGCATTTCAAGGAGAATTGAGAGAAGTTATGAAGATGGAAGGGAGCATATCTTCCATTTGGCAAGAACTTGCTTGTGAGAACTTCAAGCCCTAATCTTACAAGATAGGCTTCAAATGATTGCTGCCGTTGTGGCTGACTGCTGGGCACTGGTAGCTCTGAAAAAGCCCATGCTTCTTACTTCAAGAAGGAACAATGAATGAGGGATTTTTTTTTTTCCTGTATCTACCAGTGCACAAATTATAGTCCCCTGCCGTGGCTGATGATGTACCTGGGTGCTGCTCTTGTTTTAGCTGTCATTTTAGGCCTTTTGGATTTTGAGCCAATTGAGTATGGAAGTCTGCAGTTGTTCCTTATTGTGGACTAAACCAAGAAAACCTTGTACAAATGTTTTTCTAGGAAACTTGTTTTACTTTCCCTGGAGAACTGATGATATGGCAAGTGTGAGAAGATGTGTGTCTGATGGGGCTAGCAAATACTTCATTTCTTCATCTGAGCAGCGAAATATTGGACTCCTGATATCTTATCTGGACAGCCTTTCTGGAGGCACAAATTTGAAAGAACACTTACTGCTGTGGTCATCAATCCATAGTCTCCATGTATTGGGTAGCTCGTGAGATCTTGCACTGTTGCTTGCAGGTGAAAAATGCCACCCTGCTGCCTTCCAGATTGACAGGAAGAACAAAGTATTGTATTGCTGTGGGGAAGCAGAAGTTGAGAAGCTTGCTATTTTATATTCAAACTAATTATCTGAAATATTATCGATTCATGTGTCACAGCCTACCTTGTAATTGTTTCTTCAGTCCATGGAAACAAGCTTGGAGCTTTCAAACCTACTTCATATTTTATAACCCCACATGAGAGGGTTGATGCATACAGATGCAGTTATTAAAAATTATTTCAGTCAAAATATTCTTGTGGGACCCATGCACAAGATTTATACTGTAATCTCCCCAAACCAACTAGTACAGAAGAAGGTTTGTGTTTGGCAGGGGTTGGGAGCTGGCAGGGGGAAGGTTATGTGGATTAAAATAGTCAACAGCTTTCTTGCACATTGATTTTTTTTGTATAATATCATTTCATTATCAATCATCAGCTCTTTTTCCTGTTTAGAGCATAGAGTTGATGTATGCTCATATCTTGGAAAATACTGAACACAAGATCAAAGGTTGTGGAGCTGAGCACCTTTTATCTTGGATTGATTCCTTGCATCAGCTAATGGAAAGGATGTATTTGCTGACCTCCCTGGTAGAGGTGACTAATAAGAATGTGTTTTTCAGAAATCTCCTGATCTGTTAACAAAATGAGTCATGTTTCATACAGATACTATTAATTTGAAAATATTAGACTTTTATATATATGTAAATGTTAAAATTCTCCTTCCCTTAAGTACCATAACAATTTCTAAATATTTTCATGGGATGAGAGATTCATAAAAGCCAAATTTGGCACTTAAGCACCTATTCCATGGATGCAATGTTTAGAGGTAACCTATACCATGGATGAAATTGGGTGTGTTATATACACATGCCAGATTGCATAAGATCAAATTCTACATGTTTTGTCATGGCAGGCCTGGATATGGATCAATCTGATGTTTGTACATTGGCTTTTTTTTACAGAAACCTCTTAAATGAGGTTCCATTTTATCCACACAGTTTTTGACCAAAGAAGTTCATGCTTGCCAGACAGAAAAGACAGAAACTATAAAAAACTATCTTATTGCAGTGTGTCAAACTTCATGTGTACAAGGACTCTTGTTTCTTTAGCAGCATAAAAGCAAATAATCAAAGCTCATATTTGTATATGAATTAAACATTCTATTGGAGTAGTGGAATGCTAACCCAATTTGGATAGCCTAGTGGGAAATAGAGGTTAAAAATCATATGGAAATTGTCAATTGTGATGAGAAATGCTAAACATTTGCCCTAATCCCAAAATGCCTGTTGACAAGAAAGATGAGGGACATTTAAAAGAACCCAGTTGCTGCACTGGATCATAGCCTGCTGACACTCAAAGCGTGTGAACTGTAGATACTGGGAAGATTTGCATGAGAGAAAGCTTTTGAAGCGTGCTAAACTGCTAATGTAGATGTACTTTTGGAAATTCAGGCACATGGTAGCTGGGACTAACTCTTCTGACTTCTGAAATAATTCTCCTAGGTGCCTCCTAGACCATTTGTGATAGCTGCCACGGAGCTCAACTTGGTTCATCCCTTAAGAAGCCAGAAAACTGTCAGAATTATATTTATAGTTCAAAAACTGATACATACACTGATGTTTTTCAAACGTTTACTAGGTTTGTCTGTGCTTAATCAGAATTTTTCTCATCACACATCTAAGCACACAAATTTATTCAGAATAAGTTATATTTTGACTGTGCATCAGGTATTCTATAGAAACTGCCCATATATATGGTTTATTATTTGAAAATATAAATAGCTTTTTTTCTTTGTAAGATAAGCTTCTTCATCTTTACAATAGGTAAAATCTTTCATGTGAACATTTACCACTGAATAATTGGTGTACTGCATTAATTCATGAATCCTATTTTACCTTGCAGCCTTTTTTAAGGATGTACCTGTCTATTTAGGTATTGAGGTGACTGCATTGCAGTTTTGGTTCTTCTTTGCCTACAGGTTTCTTAGGTTGTTTCTGATCTGCCTATTTTTTGAGTTTAAATTAATTCCAGCTGGGTTGCTTCACTGTGGGGCTTTTTGGGGGTTGTTGTTGTTGTTTTGTAGAGACCAGGGCGAAGGAATTAGCCTGCTACACCCTGTCCCCTTAAACCAAATGAGTCATTTTGTGTGAGTCTGCTTCAGGCTGACAAATATATTCCTGACAACTTAAGCTCTTTATCTATAGTGCTTTTTTACCATCTTGCCTTTCTGCTGTCTCAAAGATAATGCAACTCATAGTTGTCTTTAAGATACAAGTCTCTTTCTTTGGCTCTCACAAATTAAATCCTATTAAAATCATAGTTGTGTTTTCTGTCTGAGCTAAGCATTGTAAAAAATCACCCGTTCGTTTCCATTTAAATAAGGATTTTGAAGCCACTGATCCATCTTTCAGGGAATATGGAACATTTCTGGAAGCAGCAAGTTCTGTTTCCTCACAGCCCTGCTGGACACCTGACATTAGCCCCTTTTTTTCAGTTTCTTTGCGTGGGCTGCAGCTGAATGTCAGCGGGGACTCTCTCAGCCAGCCAGACCTTTGCTTCTGCCCTGCATTCAGCAGAATCTACTTCCCAGGAACGCTGCCAAAACATTAACTCTTTGAGAATGGGAGAGAAAGATTTCCCATAGTGACCAAATCCTATTCTAACATTTGACATGTGATCTCTTTTGAGCTTAATGTTGTTCATCCTCTTACAAATGTTTGAAACACTTTTCATTGTGAAGGTCGTGAGAGGAATCGTCATAATGCAAAAGTTTGTGATTGTGCACGCGGATTTGCTGGCAAGAAAAGCACCTGTAAGTTCTCTGATGATGTACATTTGAGGGTAGACCTTACTGAATTGTCCCTCTGATGTAAAATATATCATAATTATTATATCCCAGACTGGTGGGGTTGGAAGGGACCTCAGGAGATCATCCAGTCCAACCCCCCTGCCAAAGCAGGTTCCCTACATCAGGTTGCACAGGAAAGTGTCCAGGTGGGTTTGAACATCTCCAGAGATGGAGACTCCACACCCTCTCTGGGCAGCCTGTCCCAGGGCTCCGGCACCCTCACAGGAAAGAAGTTTTTCCTTCAGTTTGTCTGGAACTTCTGGTGTTCCATTTTGTGCCCATTGCCCCTTGTCCAAAGTAGATCATCATGACCTCAGTGCTACTAAAGATTAAAGTAAGGCAGTGTTTGTAGGTACTACATCTATTTCAAACCTGGAAAGGCTTTTGTAGCTGAAAGCTTGTCTCTTTTTCCCAACTTTAAAAAAATAGTTGGCTGAATAAAAGATGAGCTGTAAACTGTCATCTTGAGGAACCTAGTTTTTGGTCAATTAACACATTACCTCTGTCTCTTTATTTTTCTTTATCCCTGGGTTGGATCCTGAAAAATAAATACAGAAATACGTGATATGTTATAAAAAATTGAAACCTTTCCTATGTCTTTCCAAACACTTACTGTTTTCTACATGAAGAACAGCTTGATCACTGAGCAGATTTGCAGAAAGCTGCCAAATACATGTACAGCATAAAGCTGTCATTCAGCACAGGATGTGCTGGCATTGTGGGTTAACCGCAGAAGTGATCAGGAAATTCTCAGGAGCTACTTTTGTCAATAATATTTTTTATAAGCAACTTTTATTGAATCTATTGATTTCAGCAAAGCTTTTGTTAGGAAAAAATTTCTTCCCCCTTGGGGTGGAACTTGTGATTAAAAGTTAGAGAAGAGTGAGATGAGATGCTGAGCAGGATATAGACTTGGTCAGAAGTGTTCACTGGGATATGCTGAGGGGCCTCTTGGCTAATTCAAGCAAAGAAAAATTCCTTTAAATTCCTAAGTCAGTTAATATTCAGATATTTACACAAAGCAGAGTCTCTCCCAGTCCCTTCTGTAAGAATATCTTGTTAGAGATCCATCCAAGAACAGCTTCTTGTCTACTGACTAGAACCTCATTTGGGATATATGAAGATGATGAGTAAGAGTTTGAACCTTTATCTCCCAAGATGAAGCTTTTCTAACACACCACTAAATATTCTAGTAGGATCTCTCTCTTTTTCCCCCCATCCTTTTCATCACTCCATATTTTCTTGCTTATGAATATGAGTCTTCAATGTTCTCCGAGTGCAAAAGGAGAATTTTTTTGAAGTTGTTGAGTTTTGCAGAGTGTAACGATGTTTCCTGCCTCGTTGTGACACATTTCTAGGACACAGTGTCATATAATTGCATGTTGTGTTTTTCCTTGTCGCTGGGAATGGGTATGTTCTTCTCTTCCTTTTTGCTGATTATGGACAGGCATCTCTTGAACGTACTGAATTTTTTCTTGGAATTCAAAAAATGAAAGTAATTTCCCTGGTTAACCTACTTAGAATTTAAATCCAGGCGATTAAGGAGAACTTAACTACAGAAATGTTCGGTGCCTGGGTGCCTTGCTTCTGTTGCAGAGCTCACAGTTCTAATTTAGGCATTTAGACTTCTTGAATAAAGTATGGGATGAGTTGGGTGTCTGATTACAGGAGTTACAGAGACAGGATCTGCAGTGTGAATAGCCTAAATCAGGCAACCAAAAAGAAATGGACAAACACAAATTGGAATCTTCAACGCCGTAGCTTGGTAGATCAAGCTCTGTCCTGCAAAGATGAGTGTGGAAATCCTTTCTTTAAAAAGCATGTCACAATTTAATTCTTTCTTTCAAAATCATGCTAGTAGCAATGGCTGCCTCCTTTTGATCTAAAATGTAGGGTTAGAATACAGGTCTTGGCTGTAGAGTATCAATTAAATTCCTTTTTCTGTCTGAGTATGTGAAGATGCACGTCCCCCACTTCCCTTGGAATGGTAAGATGATAAACATTTAAATTAATTGGAAGTATTGCTATTCAGGCCTTTCTTTTCTTATGTGTTCTACCAATTAGAATATGAAGCTGTGCTCTCTTTAGTATTTTCTGTCAGACTTACTGAATCTTTAAATATTTCATGCAAAATGGAAAAAAACTTCAACAGAGAGAGATGAAAAGAGCTGCCTGGAGCAAGGCTCCCAAACTCACCAGCATAGCAACAGGTACGTCATGTTATCCGGAGACTGCAACAACAGGACTGTTTGGGAACCACAGATAAGGAACTTCAGCAGCGTTGGCTGTAGTCATCCTGTAGGATGGAAACTCATCTCACCAATCTACCAAGGTGTGGGAAATGTGAAATTGAATCCTGTTAGGTGGAGTCAAAGATTGAATTCACTGAATTCAAATAATTGAATTTCACTGTGAGGGTGGTGAGCCAGTGTCCCAGGTTGTCCAGAGAAGCTGTGGCTGCTCCTCCCTGGAAGTGTTTGTGGCCAGGTTGGATGAGGCTTTGAGCAACCTGGTCTAGTGGAAGGTGTCCCTGCTGCTGGCAGGGGGGTTGGAACTGGATGATCTTTAAGGTCCCTTCCTATCCAAACCATTCTATGATTCTATGAATTCTGCTATTTCCAGATGTAAATTTTGTGCTGCTGGATAAAAGCAAGGGAGGTTCAGATTGGATATCAGGAAAAAATTATTTACTGGAAGGGTTCTCAGGCATTGGAAGGGTCTACCTAGGGAAGTGGTGGAGTCCCCATCCCTGGAAGGATTTAAAAGACAGGTAGTTGAGCTGCTCAGAGATATGATTTAGTGGTGGACATGTATGGTTGGACTCTATCTCAAGGGTCTTTTCCAACCAAATGATTCTATGAAAGGCCAACTCTGTCCCTGCATAGAGCCCAGTTAACAAACTTTAAATTTTCCCATGGAAATAATACAGAGGAACACCTGGTAAGAGGTTGTATTTACATCCTGCCCTTTTAGGATTGACATTTGAGGTGGGCCTGAAGGGACTTAGCTCTGTCAAGAGACAAGTACATGAGGCGTAAGAAGCAAGTGACTTACTAGAGAGCTGCACTCACAAAAATATCTGTGATTTGCAGGTGTAGTTATAATACATAACGATGCTTGTAGACCAATTTTCATTACTTGAAAAAGCAGGGAATCCTCCAGGTCTGAAATAAGAGCAATAAGCTTCAAGCAAAGTACAGGTTCAACATAATTGCTTTGACTTTAATTATGTTACCTTTATTAAGCTATTTAAGAAAAGCATGATGGGTACTTATTCAGCAGAGTATGACATAACGAAGCTCGGTCGTATTACAAGTATTTTTACTTGTTTATTTCTAGATAAGACAATTTCAACAGTATTTTTCAAGTTTGATAGAGGTCTCTAGTCAGGTCCTAGAAATAGGATTGAGCAGCAGTGGCTAGAATCACGTGAACTTGGAAAGTATTTTTGCCTTTCTGGGATACTCACTGATTTAAAAAGTGAAGTGTAAGAAATGGATGAGAAACTGGTAAGACTTGCCTGCTCCTTCAGAGGGAAAAGGATGTTTTCTTTGAAATGATACAGAAGAGGAGCTGTGTTAACTGAAGAAGTTTATTTCTGGTGCCAACTAATAAAGGGTATCGCTGGATTATTCTGAAAATCATAAAAAAATTTTGGAAAGCAGAGAAGAGAACCCATTTTGCATAGGGCTTGCATGTTGGGAAGGAGTGGGTGTCAAAAGCATAGAATAATTTTCTATGGCATATTTTCCAGTTACCTTGCACATAATGAAGTTTGTTCTCAGCTGAGCAATTCAGAGAACAATGATAGTAATTCAGAAGCTCGTTGCTAACCCTTCCTCTCGCCCCACCTCTTCATTTTTCCTGGGAAACTGAATTCAAGGCAGTTGCTGACCATTTATGTCGGATATTCCAAGCTCTCTTGTCCTTACTTAACAGACTGATGGATACTGATAAATACTGTTTGTCACTGGTATTAAATTTTATTTCATATCATGTTTCTGAATCATATAGTAGATTTTGGTTCTTTGATCCCAAAAATTGCATGGAGGCTTTTCCAACTTTGGAGGAGTTAATTGCTGTGGGTCTGAGACACAGTTTTTGCCTCTGTAACCTGAAATGAGATTTCACAGCAGACCAAATGATAAAAATGTGGGAGTTTGGTTGTGGTGATTTAGTCCACTGATATTTATAAATAACCCAAGTTTGATTCCGAGACAACACTGAGTAGGGGAAGTAATTTCATTTAATAGATGATGCGGTTGTTCAGAAGAAGCTCTTTTCTCGCCTCAGAGAAAGGAAATGCTGAGGTGGCAGCATGTGGAGAGGCAGGTGGAAGCATGTGGGAATTTGGTGGTTAGTTGGAGGAACAACACACAGCTGGGCTGTGGATAAGTAGGGCTTCTCAAATACAAATGGAATTAACTCATGTGTGGAATTGTGAAGTTTTATCTGGTGAGGTTATTGTTTAATGAAATTTAAGGACATTCTCTCACTACTGCTGTTGTAGTCCTACTGAATTTATCGATGTTGTATAGGTGCAGATGAGGCAAACCTGTTCATAGAATCATAAATTGTTTGGTTGGAAAAGACCTTTCAGATCATCAAGTTCAACCATACCTGTCCACTACTAAACCAGATCTCTGAGCACCTCATCTACCCGTCTTTTAAATCCCTCCAGGGATGGGGACTCCACCACTGCCCTGGGCAACCCCTTCCAATGCCTCAGAACCCTTTCAGCAAAGAAATTCTTCCTCACATCCCATCTCAACTGCCCTGGCCACAACTGGAGCCCATTTCCTCTTGTCCTGTCCCTTGGGCCTTGGTTGAACAGACCCACCCCCACCTCTCTCCACCCTCCTCCAAGGGACTTGCACAGAGCCACAAGGTCTCCCCTCAGCCTCCTTTTCTCCAGGCTCAACACCCCCAGTTCCCTCAGCCACAAGGGAACTCAGCACACTTGTGCTCCAGACCCTTCCCCAGCTCCGTTCCCTTCTCTGGACACGCTCCAGCACCTCCATGTCCTTCTTGGACTCAGGGACCCAACACTGAACCCAGCACTCGAGGTGCACATGAAGCTTCACATTTAAGCTGATTTCAGTTTATGATGATACCATAAAGGTTGGTTCGGTTTTCTTCTCCACCAGCTCCTTGACTACACATGCCCACTTCTACTTTGCACCAGGATCAGCATTGGTATAGTCACACCATCAACTGGATCAGAGATGTGGCTGGAAAGATGTTTTGTTTGTTTTTGATGGGGCTGGTTTTCAGCCAGGTGAAGTTTTGATCCATTTGAAGTTTCTTCTGTAAGTCAACAGGGAAATCTGTGCTGCGTGTAGTGTTAGTCCTGAAGACCTTGTGAACCTTCCTGGCTGATTACATTTTATTAGATGGTATGTAAATTCTAATAGTAACATGTCCCTGTGCTTTGTCAAGATCATAATTCTAGTCTAAGACTTCTTATGCAGGATTCTTCTATAGGGTAGGCAAACATTTGGGGAAAAAAATAAAAATGAAGCTCTGAGCTTGTTGACAAATGCCTACTGAGATTTTTCCATTTCAAATAGTGACTCACTCAAGCTGGTGGAAGTGGGAGAGTCATCCATGTAAGAGGTTTCCAGTGTGAAACAACTACTACCAGGCACAGAAGGAGGGACTTGAAATTTCTGTGGTATAATCCAGTTCCACCTCAATTCTGCTTTCCAAAATCAATGTTGGTCTGTCGATATTGTGGTTTCCTCTCGGTTGGTAGTTCAGGATGAATGATGTGGCTTGTACTGTTCTCTTTTATTTCCCCAGTGGAGGAAATCCTCTTGATTTTATTTATTTATTTATTCTTTTAGCATATGCAGATGACTATCCAGGCCCTCCAAGACGAGCTTCGGATCCAACGGGACCTGAACCAGCTGTTCCAACAGGACAGCACCACTAGAACCAGTGAGCCCTTTGTGGCAGAGCTGACAGAGGAAAACTTCCAGCGACTTCACGCAGAGCACGAACGCCAGGCCAAGGAACTCTTCCTGCTACGGAAAACCTTAGAAGAGATGGAACTGCGTATTGAGACGCAGAAACAGACCTTAAATGCACGTGATGAGTCCATCAAAAAGCTGCTGGAGATGCTGCAGAGTAAAGGTCTGTCAGCAAAAGCTACTGAGGAAGATCATGAGCGAACAAGACGGTTGGCTGAGGCAGAGATGCACGTGCACCACTTGGAGAGCCTTCTCGAACAGAAGGAAAAAGAAAACAACATGCTGAGAGAGGTAAGTGACCAAGCTCTGGGTTCATCTCCATCTCACAGCCGTGAGGAATGAATCTGCCATCCTCTCTGAAAGCTGTATTTTACATTGCAGATTTGTCCCTGTTGTTTTAAAACTTCTTTATGGTTTCCTGGTGTGTGCTTTCTGGAGTTCTGTGCTCCAGGCCTCGCTTTCCCCGCAGCCTCCCTGTGCAGCTCCGGAGGTGAATTGTCACACAGACTGTAAAATCCATTCTTCCGTTCTATTTTAGTTTGCAAGGAAGTAGCTACCTGTATTTAGGAGAGAGCTGAGAGAAATCTTTGCAGGAGTAATGGATGATTGCTCTACAGTTTCCATGGAAACAGTCGTCTTGCTGTGAAGGGTATTTGATAAAACTATTAGCTGCCCTGGATGCACAGCCAAAAAAAAGATTACTTAAAGGGACACTGCTGCACACATAGTAACCCCTTCCCCCCATCCCTCTGAAAACAAAGAAGGAAAAACAGTGGTTTATTTGTATTACACCTCAGAGGAGCAAAATGGCAGGCGTGTTTCTCTATTGATCACCCTGAACTAATTTTAGTAAAATACAGGCTTCATATAAGTGTCTTAGAAGAATAAAGGCAAACAGCTGAGTTGTTGTGTAGCCAGTGTCATTAAATATCTCGATATTGTTAAATGCATTTCCCTCTTGTCAACCAGCCTCCTGAAGTATTCTAATACTAACTTCTAAAAGGCCAGTAATTCAGCATGTGTTGTGTGCACACGCAGGTATGTATGTGTACGCGAATATTCACTGACGATAAGATGTTCTCTAAAGGTTATTTTACGTGCAGCTGTAGGTTGGATGCATGAATTGATAGCTCTACAGAGGTGTGTAATATGTGTGTGTCTGAATCTAATCACCTGCTTTGGGGATTGTACGTCTACTTTGTAGTTCAACATTTTCTTGAAAGCCTGATGCATACACAAGGTTGAAGCTCCCTCTCTAATAAGCCAGGGAAACAAGGTCTGTCACCGAGGTTTTCGAGATGAGTGTTTGCAGCACATAAATACTTCTTAATGCCTCTTATTCATATGTTTTCCGTGGCCTGACCCATTGTACTTGTGCTCTTGCAAGCTTTTATATAAGAAAGCCTAGAGCCCATTGCATTTCTGAGCCAGATTTAGGCCAGATTTATTTTTTTTAGAGCAGTAATCTCTTGAGTGTCTGGAGTGAAGATAATATGATTCCAGAGTTTCTGCACTACAGTTTTTCCTTTATTTAGCAACCAATGATAATTCTGTTCCAATTCTTGTATCTATTTCAGGAAGAGCCCCAAATGGCTTCCATTTGTTTCTGCTTTAAGTCCAGCAACATAAATGAAAAGCTGGCAGGAGCTGTGTAATTTTTTAGGAATGTGGTTACTTTTGTTTCTGCTATTGATGAGTAGATGTTGAGAGATGAGAATTCTTGTTTCATTCAGACATATGTGGAAATCACCAATCATTTAAATCCTGGCCTTTAGGGTAGAAGATTTCCTGGAGAAAGGTAGAGATGACTTACTGACTTTGAAAGTGCAAATGCTATTTAACATTTTAAAATTAATTACTCCTTGCTGCCCACTCAGCTCTAAGGCATTGACCAAGGTAAGCAGGGTATGCTGTAATTTGTAGCCCAAGCCATTGATATGATGTGGGATCCAGCCTTAAAGCATCCCGGTAACCCTGGAAACCTGGTGCCATGTGCAGAGATGCCAAAATATCTTCTTAGGGAACTGGGTCACATCAAGAAGGGTTTTGTTAGCACCGGTGTGTTGTCCTTGAGATCTGAGCTAACTGAGCTCAGGCTTGTCTGTCCTCTGTGGATCTGCTGTCCAAGTGCACCTGGTCACTGTCTTCTTGAGCCCATGTAAACTTTTGCAGCTGTAGCATCATTTGGTAGGTGGTTCTACAGGCCTTCTCTCTCTCTGTTGCAGGAAGAACCTGCCTCATTTCTTTTGAGTTTGTACCTGTCTCCCTGTAGCTTCATTGACAGCCTTTTGCTCTGGAAGACTTAGGGGACAGATGATTGCTACTGAGACTCTGTGCCACTCATCATTTTAGAGATGTCATATCCCTTCCAAGTTCTCTCTTTTTCCAGCCTTAAGAGTCCAATGCTACTTAATTGTTCTTCATATAGAAGACACTGCGTATCTTTGATCATCTCCCAGAAAGCAGTCTCAGTTTCCTATACCCAGGTTATCAAGTGGATTCTTCAGCAGATAGTGAGAGGTATCTCCATAAGCAATTTGACTGTTTTGGGCTTTTCCAAAATATCCTGAATTCCAGGGAACTCAAACAAATTTTCCATACAATTCCATGGGAAAGATCCTGTATCCAACACAGAATGTATTTGGCAACTTTCTAATACAGAGGACAGTTGCTCATTAACACGAAATAATGAAAAATTAAATGCCTCATTGAACATCTGAACACAACATTGATCTGGATGCCCTGACTTCAGCAGATGACAGCGTGGCTGCATCACATTCCTCTACCCTAGAAAACAAGCTTAAACGTCATAGCTTATAAAAAGATGGCTTGCTATTTTGAATACCCCTTTCTTAAGTCTTAGTGAAAATTATTCATATTACTGTTGGTATTCTAGACTTAGCTTTCAGAAACAAGATTATTATCATACCAGCAAGAAATACTTGACAAAATCCAGCAGCTGGACTCCAGCTTCCAGAATAGCCCCCAAGTTTTATTAACTGCCTCCACATTGTTCCAGACTCACCTGTTGCAGAATTATCAGTGATGGCAGTGACAGCACGTAGCTCTACAGATAACAAAGCCTCCTGTGCTCTTTTTGACAACCCCCTTGCTCCTGGCCCCTAAAATGCTAGATGCACTGAGTAGAAATATGTTTTCCTCAGCTCCACAGAGTAGTTACACCAAATATCAGGGCAGTTTATGGCAGAATATGATGTGGTTGTATCCACTTCTGGTGTTCTAGACACTTGGAATACTTTGGGCAAACTATAATTTGTAAGGACAGTCCAACATCATTATACTAACTTGGTTAAAGCTTTCCCTTTGGAATTGTTCATTATTATCTGTCTTTAGGAATATATATTTGGAGAAGGAACTGAAATCATACACTTCTAGCATCACAGAGGTAAATAAAGAGGTAACTTCTTGAGAGTTCTTGGAGAAAAAAGTTTAGGCCAAATTTCTCATCTGAGAAGAAGAAAGGATAAAAACAAAACCGTGTGTATTGGTTCTACCCAGGGCAGCAAAAAGAAGCTGCTCATTGTGTATTATTGTCAGATATTTGCCAGAGAACTTGAGCAGTGTCCTCCCATTTTCTTACTCCTTCACAAAGGATATCAGCACAGGCTTTACAACAGGAGTTAATCTGATGACCTGTTTGCCTCAGGGCTGCTACTAGACATACATATTCTGCAAGCCCAAAACATCTTTGTTCACAGCAGTCCTGATGATACACATGGCCCTAACCATTGACTTTTCCTGAAAAGATGCAGTAGAAGTCATGCACAGTGTTAATTCTCTTCTTCCTCCTCACCAGTTTTACCACGTATTTACAATGAAGGATGTGTAAGTCCTGTGGGTAACTTGTGCTGGGCTGTACGTGGCTGTTGTAAATACCTTCAGCAAAAAGTCAAAACCAAGTCTCCCTTTAAGTTAAACTGTAGTCTGGTGGCTGTAGCATTCTCTTGGGTAAAAGGAGTGGTTGGTTCAAACTTTGAGGCTAAGCGGGTACTGAAGATGGGGTGAGGTGTTCATTGAAAGATCAGTGGCATAGAACGGACACATAGTTCATAGAATCCCAGACTGGTTTGGGTTGGAAGGGACCTTAAAGCTCATCCAGTCCCAACCCCCCTGCCAGCAGCAGGGACACCTTCCACTAGACCAGGTTGCTCAAAGCCTCATCCAACCTGGCCGAGAACACTTCAAACTTGCTGAGGGTGCACTCAATCCCACTGTCCATGTCACTGACAAAGATGTTGAAGAGCACCAGTCCCAATACTGAACCTTGAGAGACACCACTCGTCAGTTCCTCATAAAGAATGAAGGAGCCACTTGATTTGATAGACAGAAATTAGACAGTTATTCCTGAAGCGTGAATACGGGTCTGGGACAGATGGTTGACTACAGCATTTTGTTCAGAATCAGAAAGAAGGCTCTTTATCTAGAACGTTTCTTCAAGACTCAGTTAAAGAAGAAACGTTCTAGATAAATGCTTGATACATCTAGATAAAAGTCTGAACCAACCAGACTCGGTTGTAGGCTCAAGATTTGCACGTTACAGTGGCGTGCAACGAGGAAACCAACTGTAGCTTCACACTGTGTCACAAAAATTGTGTTGGGTAGTAAATTCCAGTTTTGATTTTTTTAATTTATTTTTTTTTTAAATAATTGGGCCTATTCAAACGAGATGGATTTTTAATAGAGCCGAGTGCAAAAGTGAATGAAGGAGTTAGGGCTGTAGTGCTTAACACATAAAGGGTGGTTTTGTATGTAAAGCAGTTGCTGCAGTGGGTCATTCATGAGGACACTCATTTACAATGAACTTGAGGGAAGAGGCTAGGGCAGAAAAAGCTATTATTTCTTTTCCTCTGCAGTGTTTGTTGAAATGGCAACCACACAAAGTCTCTCTTGTGAGCTGTACCCTGGTTATCCAGTATGGCTTTATTACAAGAGCTTATCCCTGCTTGTGGCTATTTTGAATCCAACAGTGCTCACTTTATTTTAGGAAGTAACACCAAATTTCTGCGAGCAAAATCTTTATTCTATCTCCACTTAGGGTAGATGTCTGGCAGAGCAGCGAGCGGGCACACTACCCTATAATATACATATACCTGACTTAACTTTAGATTATCATAGAATCCCAGACTGGTTTGGGTGGGAAGGGACCTTAAAGCTCCTCCAGTTCCAACCCCCCTGCCAGCAGCAGGGACACCTTCCACTAGACCAGGTTGCTCAAAGCCTCATCCAACCTGGCCGAGAACACTTCCAGGGAGGAGCAGCCACAGCTTCCCTGGGCAACCTGGGACACTGTCTCATCACCCTCACAGTGAAGAACTTCTTCCTAATATCTAATCTAAACCTCCCCTCTTTCAATTTAAACCCATTTCCCCTTGTTTTGTCATTAACTGCCCTTATGAAAAGTCCTTCCCCAGCTTTCTTGTAGCCCCTTCAGGTACTGGGAGGCCACTAGAAGGGCTCCCCGGAGCCTTCTCTTCTCCAGGCTGAACAGCCCCCACTCTCTCAGCCTGTCCTCACAGCAGAGCTGCTCCAGCCCTCGCATCATCCTCGTGGCCTCCTCTGCACTGGCTCAGGTAGGTCTATGTCTCTCTTGTGATGGGGGCTCCAGAACTGGATGCAGTATTCCAGGTGGGGTCTTATGAGAGCGGAGCAGAGGGGCAGAATCCCCTCTTTCCACCTGCTGCCCACGCTGCTCTGGGTGCAGCCCAGGACACGGTTGTCAAGTTATCAGACTTGATTCTGTGATGGCCAAAGAGCACCAGCAAGGAGCTCAGTGAGAAAGGATACATCTGCCACGTAGCCGTACCATCGGAGCGCTGCTGGAAAGTGCCCAATGTCTTCCTTATCTGAACAGTTTTTAATTAACTGTGACAAGTTTTGTAAAGAAATTATTTTTCCATGCGTGTGTTAAAATTCTTACCCTTTTCTGCTCCGGGCTTGGAGAAGGATTGAGAAACTTTAATTGGAGCAATTAGAGTTATCTCAAAGAACACTGTTGTCCTGTTTCAAGATGTTGCAACGTAAATGACACACATTTTTAGAGAGTTTTTGGTTTGCTGGAGTAAATAGATTTATTCAGTAACTGGAACTCTTACTACCATGATACTAGGGGACATCTTTCTGGTGAGTATAAAAAAATTAAGTTTCTGCTTTTTCTGCTGCTGCTTCATTCTTTTGACCTTTCAGAAGGGGATAGCAGGGAGAAGTGATTTAAATCAAGATAATTTACATCGTTATGTCTTTATTAGAATCACATGATTTGTCTAAAAGTCATTTTAAAACGTGCAGAGCTTTTGTAGAACAAAACTTGAGAAATGTGGTTATTGCAACTTGAGAACCTGCATAATTTATTCTTTATACATTTTGCTTTTTTTGATACCATTGTAGTTTGGAATGTCTTATGTGTCACTTTGTGAAAGAATGATATTAAGACGTGGACTACATGTTGGAGAATAAAAACAAGTATTTTTTTAGTTAGCAAAAGCTGTCTAGTCCACTGAATGATGCAAAGATCCTGCACAGAACATCATATTTGATCATATAAAGACATGGGAAGGCCATTTATGATCAAAAAAAGTCAGAATTACAGCTGTGTTTTTAATCAGCTGTGTTTTAATCAACTGTGGTTTTAATCACATCATCTTTTTTGTCAATTAAAAAAAATAATATATGAAAAAGCAATTTTTTCTTATTCTCTTGTGTAATATGCGCTGTCTGATTGTGTTGGTTCTGCAGGAAATGGAAGGCACGTCCTTTTTTGCTTTGGAAAGTGCTTATCTCGTGGTGCTACTGAAAAATAAGTTGCTGTTTTAAGCGCATAGTCTACTCCACTGTAAAAACATCACTTCAAAATGCACCTTCACATTTCTGCCAAATCCTGTGCAGAATCAGAGGCGGGAGTAACCGAGGGAACAACGGGAATGATCTGTCCAGGTTGTGAAGGGAGAAAAGGATCTGACTGAATTCCTTCCTTCACTATTATGCATATGTGTGTCATTTATTAATATTTTAAAGACATTGTGCTGATACTGCTCAGTATTGAGGTCTCTTTCGATTCTAAACTATACTCTCTGATTTTCAATTATATTGGTCTTGCTTGGTCAAGAAAAAAGCACGGACTTTTTCATTCTTGACAGTGATTTTAATGCACCATACCACAGCTATTCTTTATATATTCAGTCTTCTTAGTCTATTTGATGAGCTGTTCCATGTAATTATGCTGCCCAGGAAATTACAGTATTGTTTCTCATAGGGGTACTGTGCTACTTTGCAACCCTACTTGGCAGATGTAAGGTAATACGATGCACACCTTCAGTGTCTTATCTATTTTGAAGTTTGTTTATTTGTTTTGGTTTTGGTTTGTTTTTCGGGGTTTTTTTTTTTTTTTTAAGGAAAATAACTATTCATAATTAGAAATTCATAGTGATGAAGCACCAACCCCAACTCTGGTTAATGTGACCACACTTTTTAAAACTTCCATTTCTAGTCCTCACTTTCCAGTCATTGAATCTCAATGGTTTTTGGACAGAACAACCCATTTTGAATTTTTGTTGCCTGTGAAGGTGCTTTAAAGTTGTTATCAATTTGCACAATAATTTCTGGGTTTTGGTTTATTGTTTTATTTGTGGTTTGTTTGGTTTTTTTTCTCCCTAAGGACAAATTATGTTCCTGTAGTCATTCTTTGAACTCTCTTCAATATATCAGTATTGTTTTTGTCCACAACGTGGACATGATATAGCTGTAGTGGTAGCACTAACAAGTCATAAGGTGTTCCTCCACCTAAAGCTTTTCTTGTTTATAAGGAAGAATTGTAGAAACTCTACTAGCTTGTAATAGTGGGGTATTAAACATAAAACTTGGAACAGAAATTGGATAATAGAGCATTCTTCAGTATTCTTGGCAATCTTGTGATGATATCTGGTGGCTAGAAGTTCCTGATGGTTAAACTGAAAAAGAAATATGGAGCATACTTTTAATAGTAATAATAATTAACAGTGAAAAACATGCATGTTACACAAAACTTGGGAACCAGTAGCTTTTTTTACATTTTTGTTATCTTTTTAAAAATAAAGGAACCATTGAAAATACAAAAACATTAAAAACATGAAACATTTATGTAAGAGCCATCCTTTTTTATAATATCAAGAGCAGCGTGGGCAGCAGGTGGAGGGAGGGGATTCTGCCCCTCTGCTCCGCTCTCCTCAGACCCCACCTGCAGTGCTGCCTCCAGTGCTGGGGCCACCAACACCACAAGGACATGGAGCTACTGGAGCCAGTGCAGAGGAGGCCACGAGGATGATGCGAGGGCTGGAGCAGCTCTGCTGTGAGGACAGGCTGAGAGAGTTGGGGCTGTTCAGCCTGGAGAAGAGAAGGCTCCAGGGAGACCTTCTAGTGGCCTCCCAGTACCTGAAGGGGCTCCAGGAAGGCTGGGGAAGGACTTTGGCCAAGGGCAGGGAGTGAGAGAACAAGAGGTGTCTTTTTAGGTGTTTGAGGGGAGTGGGTGGCTAAACTGTGTGTGTGTGTGTACATATCCAATTTGGTTTTAGGTTAACTAGTATCACAGTTGATATTCTTTGGGCACCAAAGTATTTTTTATGTCATATAATATCAACATTCTAAGAGTATTCACGTTCCTACATTTAACATCAGTGTGTGGTGTAAGGACAAGAATATTTTACGACAAATAATGAAAAAGTGGAACAAATAACATAGTGTTTCTCCTGTATTCCCACTTGTCGGTTTGAAACCTCTGACTATAGGTAGTAGAACAAGTTGTTTGAGCTTTCTATCATGTTGCTCTTTAGGAAGCAGTCTGGAGCTTGCTGATTCAGTGAATTTGGACCAACAGAAATATCAAGGCACTTTTGTGTCCTCGTGTCTGTGTACTCTGAGCTTCTAGAGCAATGTGCTATCCAGTCATGTACTTTCAACTATGTTTGAAACCCAGTGTAGAAAAACTTCTTCATCATGCATGGTTAAATGTTGCTACTCTGGGATAAAAAAGTTGGAAAACAGGAGTTATCAATGCAGTTGTACCCTATAGGTTGTTGAAAGAGAAACCACATCATTATTGTTTTCAGTAAGCATCTAGTCAAATGAATTACGTGTATGTCTTCTGTGAGAAGCTAGTAATAGTTTAGATTAGTTTAGCAGGCAGATGATATGGGGTTTTAGTAGACTCAGCTGTCATTTCAGCAGTTTGAGTCAGTAGATAGTCAAAGATGCAGTTTCTATTGTGCCTTTTTAACGGAGATTTTGTTGAGTGAACTTTCGCCCATCCTTTCTTTGGTACGAGGAATGGTGAGGCAGAATGTATGGACTGGTGACATCAGAAAGCAATATTGAATTACACTGTGTATTGGAAAGAGAAGCTTCTAGAATTTTGTTTGTGTTTGATAAGCAGGACAAAATGCCACAAGGCTAACTCTTGCTTTCTTTTCTGCTGGTACAGGAGATCCATCGTCGATTTGAAAATGCTCCTGACACAGCCAAGACAAAGGCTCTGCAAACTGTTATCGAGATGAAGGTAAATGATTGCATGTAGGCAGCAGCAGAGTTTGTTCTCTGGAGGATGGGTTTGCATGTGAAAGGTGACTCTAGCGAATGCCATACTTCTGTCAGTTTTCTAATTGAAAATAAATATATTTATTTTATACTATTTTTTATTCTTATTTTATTTTTTATTATTGATCAGTGAAGAGACAGAGCTGCTTCATGACACAAGAAAAACCTGCCTTCTTTCTGCCTGCCCAACCTATACAGATTTCTTTCAGTTCAGCAAGAGTCCCTTGGATTACAAGGATGGGAATGATAGATTAGTAGATTTTTAAAATGATACGAGTTATTTGCTTTTTACAGTATCACCATTTGAAATGCTGCTTGTGTTCTGTGTGTCAACAACATCAGCGATTTGCAATTAGCAATGGGTCATATAGCTAGAAAGATGTCTTTCTGCCATCATCAGCCTAACTTTTCTACATGAATTTGTGATTGATCTCTTAAAGCATTAACTCAAGTGTCTAATGGAACAATGGCAATTTGCCAAGAGCTCAGGAGCCACAAGTGGAGTGTGTGGTTTGCACAGCTTTGTGTAATCGTATTTCATATTGTGTGGTCCATAAAATGCATTAGACAGGGTTTGGACAAATACAGTTAAAAGATTGGAAACTATTTTTGCAAGCTATTCTCTTCCATTTTTATATTCTACTTTTCTCCCTTCTTCTTTAGCTGTACCTTTTTCTTTTCTTTTCCTTCTTTTTTCTCCTTACAACTCTTTCCATTCCATCTCCATGTTTTCCAGAATAATTTTCCAGAGTCATTTCCCATTTTTCTACTCTGGAGCTTTTCATTTACCATCTTTCTTTTAATAGTCATCTTTGTGGTCCATAGTCATGAAAATTAATTGACCACCTGGTAACAATAAGCCATCTTTACTATCAAAAGGGAAACACCATTATTTCTGGGAAATTATGTGAGTGCTGAAACTAAATACTATTGGAAATGACAACATACCACTTCACCTTACTACCTCTCTAATTTTTTGTTGCAGTAGTCCACTTTACCAATTTTTAACTTCAGTATCAAAAATTAAGCAGGAGATCTGACTAGATCTTCATAAGGGTCCTTTAGAAAAATCTTGATCTCATGAATGAAAACCTTGATGTGAAAATCTTCCATGCTTTTTTTCAGTTGTGCTTTGATTACCAGACAAAAAAAAATTATGAAGGGTTGGTCTGTAAAAGAATGGAGGATAGTTTCAAATCCTACTTGTATTTCAGGAAAGATGAAATACTTTGGAGAAATTAAATTTAACAAGTAGACTGCTTTAAGAGATTACAATTCATAAATACATAAGGTGTCTGTGTTCATGAGTATGCATGACGCTCTGTGTGCTGTATGAATCTGTTCTTGCTGTTCCTAACGCAGAAGACTTCTAAATAAACAGTAAACAAAGCAGATTGGAAACCTCTCATCCTCCTGTAAAACTATGAGGATAATGGTACATTGATTTTTTATTTTTTTTTCCAGTTGTATATTTTTAACCATGGAAATGTTTTGAATGGTACATATATATAAGCCAGAATACTTAAAGGATCCTCTGCTGCTTTATCCACTCAAAACTAGATTGTCCTCTCAAAACTAGACTGTTGCATCTTTTCCTTATGGTCCTTTTTTATGTTCTCCATTTGTGACTCCACTTAAATTACTAGTAGCAAAACCCCATTTTTTTGCCACTCTTGCAGTCACATTTTGCTGTTCATTCAATTAGAATTAAATTTCTCTGTTTTATCCTGGCTTTGCATTATAAGGCAGCCTTTGTATGTGTTGCTTTATTTATTCATCATACACTGGGTCCATGCCCCTAGCCATGTTTTCTTTTAGTACTAAACTTTTGCCTTCCTTAAAAGGTACCAAAAATTGAAAAATTGAGTATTTGAGCACTCAGCCAGATGCTCTGTAAAGAGGTGTAGACTGCTTTCTGTAGGAACTTCAGGTGTAAATTTCAAGGGCAGGTGTATATCCAACTATTTATTTCCCTTTTTTCTGCTCCAGTGACATGTTACCAAATCATCTAACTGTGTATCTTCATCTGTCTCTTCTAATTGTTTTCAGGATTCAAAAATTTCTTCCATGGAGCGTGGCCTCCGGGATTTGGAAGAGGAGATTCAGATGTTGAAATCAAATGGAGCTCTGAGCACAGAGGAACGTGAAGAGGAAATGAAGCAAATGGAGGTGTACCGTAGTCATTCCAAATTCATGAAAAATAAGGTATTGAGAAAACAAATGACAGTAGTAAGATAAATTGAGCTGAGTGAACAGATGTCCTGGTTTTTGAGTTAAACTATCACAACAGATGAGAGGAATTTTCATACTTTGTTGATGAGTTATGATCTGGGTTCCTATTCAGTTACTGGGAAACAGAATTTATTTGTATTCTGCCATGAACCCGCTAAAATAACTTGAAAATATTGAAGAGAATTTAAAATTCAAATTTGAAAATACTATAATGGTGGTTCAGCAAGGTCAGTGGCCCAAATTCTGCTTTTACAGTCACACCTGACTTTTATTTCAGAAGGATTTTGTGTTTATCTTTAGACCATTGCTAATCCATTATAGTTTTAGGTTTTGTTTGGTCTAGACTCTTTTCAAATCTAGTCTATTGAAAAAGAATATTTCTTTTTGCAACTGTTGTACTGTAACTAGTAAGTCTTTTATTATGTAAAGGCTGAAAAGAGCATGAGCTTTCACTATAATGGCTTTCCATTACTCTCTCATTCCCTAGTGGAGTCAGAATGAGAGTAGATGCTACGACAGTGGTGGTGCCAACACTAAGTTATGCTGTTGGGGATACAGGACAAATACAGCAGTGAGACATGTTGATCTTCAGCTGTAAAGATGGACACTGACTGCTGAATGGTCTATAGCCAAAAGTCAGTTCATTCTTTGTTTCTCCTAAAGGACTGTTTCTTAGTCTTCTAGTGGGCCCTAACATTTTGTAATGAAGATTCAGGCCACCTTGTACAGTGAATTTAAATATATTGTGAGCAGTCCTGCTTTTCTTAGTTAGCTTTTGCGTGCTCCCTGCAAGCAGTGTACAGATCCCTGGAACAGAAGTTGAAAATACCTCTACTAGGTTCTGAACAATTGTAACCTATTGCATTTGTCCTGCTTGAAATTGTTTGTCAAAAAAAAAAAAAAAAAGGAATGGTGGAGAAAAGTTTCTTGGAGAAGTGTTATTTGCCCTGAAGTAGAAACATGGATTAAGTAAGTGTTTCTTCTACTTCTCTCATGCCAGCTCACTCGAGATAACCACATCTGTTCTTTTACACTTTTATCACACTGCATTGTTTCTAGGAACTGAAGGATACCCCCTTCAAATTAGGAATGGGGAGATAGTGTTAGCACCTCTTCCTTCCATCCTTTCTTCTTTCTTTCTTCTTGCCTTTTCCCCTTGTTAGCAACTCTTCAATTTCCTCTTCTCCTCTCCCTCTGTGGGCCTGTAGATCTGTTCAGCTACTCAATTTTTGGATGTCTTCCATCTACTGTGTCTGCTCATTTATTTTCCTGCAGAACACTTGCTCCTTTTTGATTACTACTCACTCATGACCCATAGCCTGCTCCAATCTTGCTGTCCTACCTCGTAATTGCACAACATTTATTTTTTCAGTATTGTATAGCCATCTGTGGCTGTATCTTGACTTTGTTTCTCTTAAACTGAAAATTGTCCCCTTTCCTGTCCTAATTTCCTCGTAAATTCCAATTTCCAAACTGTTGGGTGAAGTGCCCCATACTTGACGTATATAAGCGTAACCCTAACGATGCATCTCTGTTTCATAATCAGATTTTTGTCTGGCAGCCTGTATGAAACTCCA